GGGCAGGAACTGTAGCCGGGAGCCGGGCGGTCCGTCTCTGGAAGAAGTGCTGGGCAGCGCGGGGATGCTTCGTGAGAGCCTCCTTCCCGGTAGGTCCGTCGTCCGCCACCGCGGGGGTGAGGCGGCTCTCCGGACAGCCCAGGCTCCTGCTGGGAGCTGGGAGCGAAGCAGCTGCGCTCAAGGGAATTTTCCAGTTGTGTTAGTGCGCTGGGAAAGTTTCACCTGCGTGCTGTGGGTTTGGGTCCTTTTCAAGGACCCGAGCAGCGTCAATGCCAAAGTGCACATCAGATGCAGCCCCTTGTCATAGGGGAAAGGCACGTTAAAATGTCAGTTGCCAGTGTACCCGGGGGATTCAGGCTACAGACTGCGGAGCCAATCTCTGCGAAACATCAATGCTAGCAGGGCTGCACGTACAAAGAGCCTGTGTATTGTATGGACTACCTTCACTCTCAGTGGAATTAAAACGTCAAATTTTTCTTGGGGCTTCTAAAATTAACGTTTTGCCTTTTGACAGGTGCTTTGGCGCACTATGTTAGCTGCTTGGAAATGGTGAACAAAAGGCTGCCTTGTGGCCTCGCTCAAATTGGAGTATGCTTTCACTCTGTTCCAGAAAGTGAACACAACAAAAAACTTATAAGGTAGAGTAATAGAAGGATTTTCTAAATCCTTCTATTTTAATACTTAAGCTAACTGTTTTTACTTGTTTCATTTTTGGATTATTTTTGAGTACCGTCTCTTGCTTTTTCCTTGTTATTTTTGAAGGAGTTAACTTGCTGACCTTGCTATTCTTTAAAGAATAGGCGAAAGGACCACGTCTTTGCTTGCATGGTTTAGTTCTCCCCGAACTGCAGGACAGTGGCTCGATTACTGGTTACGCCAGAGGCTCCAATGGTGGAGAAAGGTAACAGCAGCACACCCGTGGGACATCTTGGCCCGCTCCTTTATATCTCAGGGAGAGGGGGAATAGACACCCTGGTCAGTTTTACAGTGTTCAATTGCTTGGCTATTCTTGTCGCTGAAATACGTGTATTTCTTGTGAGAAACCGAAAAACTACTTATGACCAACCTGTTAAATAGTTTATAACGTGACTTGCAGAGAGGCAAATGTTTTGTGTTTCCGAGTGATTTGAGATCAAAGTGCTGTAAAACAAGAGATTTGGGCTGTGATTTATAAAAGTCTTTTGCTGAAAATCACAGACTTCAGCTTATGTTACAGACTTGTTTTTTGTAATTAATACAGCATGCACAGTAGTGATCATCTCATATCTTTTATTTTCAGTTTGCAGTAGGCCCATCTAACTTCAGTAGCAGTGACTTTCAGGACGAAGACGGAAGAAGAGGGTTTAAGTTACAGTACAGCTTTCCTTGGGGAACAGAAACAATAGAAACGTTGAAGAACCTTGGTGATACCGAACTGTTACAGATGTATCCAGGGGATAGTTCAAAATTACTTGTAAGCTTTGCTGTATTAAAAATCTCTTCTGATAAAGATGATAATGTGTGAGAGAAATGGTTCCTTTGCTGGTCCAGTTGCTTTGCACGTGACTGTCTTTTTTATTCTTTTTTGTAAAAGCAGAACGATCAATACTCTGCAGTCAGACCTTCCTTTTCAAAAGCAGATAAAGTAGTGTTTTGGGGGTTTTTTGCAAGGAGTTAATTCTTTGAAATCAGAGATGAGCTACACTGACAAGACAGCTGTTGTCAGCTGCATAGCCTTTACCTGTAACTGTGAATAGATGTCAAGACAAACTCAGTCTGTGTTTTGCAGCGTCTGTCTTTCCTGGTTTTGCAGCTTATCTCTATACAGAAGGCAGAAGACTGTAATGTAACCTACAAACTGTGGGTTATGTAGTGATTTCTCAAAATATGGGGACAGATCCTTGTGGTCACTTGGAAATAATCTATAAACCTCCAAACGAAAATGCAGAGTTTCAGGTGTTTTGGCCACAGATTAAATTCATGATCAGAGAGGCAGGACAAGCAAATAAATCCATCCTCTTCTGATCTGCTTTTCCTAGTGTTACAGTCTGATCTAGTTAGTGTTACACTTTAAAGATCGCTGGTAACTTTTTAAGATATACATCTTGATTGTATTTTAAATGTAATCAGGGTACTTGAGCTCAAAGGCTTTTGGGGACAGTCTTTGAGGTATCCTTTTGTGGTGTTTTTTTTTTTTTCCTCTTCAGGGCCGAGATGGAAGAAAGAATGTTATTCCTCATGTTCTGTCCATGAGTGGAAATCTGGACCGAGGAGTATTAGCCTATCTCTTTGATTCTCTACAGCTAGCTGAGAATCCATTAACAAAAAAGAAAAATTCACAGAGAAAGGTAACTTTCTGTAGGAAGCGTAAGGGAAGTCTAAGTACAAAACCCACAGACAAAGTGGTAAATTCAAGCATGGAAATAGCTCCCTTTTGCACATGGCCATCCTCTGTTCCCCAAAAGATGCAGGCAGAACGCTTCTTACTGGTAGCAACAGGCTGGCCCCATGGGACTGCCTCTGTGGTCCTTTTCACCCACATAAGCAATTTTTCTCTCATTCTGAGGTCACCTCGTCTGTTTTACCCTCTTTCTCTCTGTTGAGTAGGTAGGCTTTAGCCATGCGAGTGATGAAGGAGTTCAGGGGAATTGGAATGCAGCTGCTGTGGGTGGGAAAGGGGAGTTTGTCTCTTCCCGTGGCATCTGTAGGCTGCTGAGAAGAGTAGAAAAAGCGGGTCACAGGTGGTAATGGGGCATTTCCCCAAAGACCATCATTAATCTCACTTTTACTCTGGTTTTCTGGGGTTACAGTGCTAGCTTTCAGACAGCACTTGTTAATCAAACAGCTGTTTGGTCTTTAAGGACAGGCAGCAAACTGGATGGTAACTGCTGGGCTGTCTGATCACTCTGGTTCCATTAAAGATGATGGAGCTCTGCTAACAAAACTTCCATCTCTTTTTCTGGGGCTCAGCCAAAATGGAGTAATTTCTGCCACACTAACCTAGCTGGCATGTGTGTTAGTTAGATAAAATACAGCTTGCTTCTAATTCAGGATTTTGTACTATGAGAAAATTTTTGACTGTTTAGAACCTTAACTTCAGTGAAAAAACTTTAATATTTCTTAGTTCTGTTTAGAATTTTACACTTAACTACACTTAGTAATCTGTTGCTTTTTGTAAAATAATTAGGTGCTTAAGCTTCATCCTTGTTTAGCACCTGTTAAAGTGGCCTTGGATGTCGGAAAAGGCCCCACGACAGAGCTGAGACAGGTACGTTGTAAGAAAGCTTTTTAACTTTGAGCACTGACTCTCCGCGTAACCTTCCGTTACAATTCAGACACTGTTTATGTTGGTGAAAATCATGCTGCTACTTTGATTCTTGGAGATCTGTGGTTGTACACATTTCACAGCCCTTCCGCTGTGCAGCTTGTGAGAGGTAGCTGCAGGAGTACACTGCAGACGGCCTTCCTTGTCTTAACAGGCTGCTTTAGTACTGCTAATAGAGATGGTTATTTGTTGCATGCAAAACTAAGGAAAATAACAATCCCTCACAGCTTCTTAATCTTTCAGAATTATCTTGACACATGGGGCATATCTTCAGAAGGATTTTAAAAAGTTTTCAAGTCAGTCATTAAGCCAGTCCCAGCAGAAGGGGGGAAATTTACACTGGCATGTTTTTAAATAGAAATGGAGATTTAATTGCCAGGCTGCTGAGATTATTTCAGTCAGAAAATTAACCCCAGCTAGGAATGCTAATACCACACATACTAAGAGTTTTAATGTTTAATTTCAAACCCTCAAAGTCTGTCTTTTAACTTTTGTTTTTAAATAAACGCAGGTTTGCCAAGGATTGTTCAATGAACTGTCAGAAAATAGAATTTCTGTGTGGCCGGGTTATCTTGAAACTGTGCAGGTATCTTTGGAACAGCTTTTTACAAAGTAAGGAGAAACAATCTTCTGTAAATTAAACTGTGAAGGTGAAAGATGACTCTGTGTGGACTAGCAAAAATATACCTGTTTCAGGAAGAAGTCATCGAGTGCAGTAACCACATGACTGAAGTCATGTGTCCTGAACTATAAACTTGGATTCAATTAGTTTTATTACAAAGAGCAATCTCAGGTAGTTCATTTTTAAAATGAAGTGAAGTATAAGCCTTTCACATGTTATTGTTGTTTCTCTGGAACTGTGAAATGCCTTGTAGAGACTTTCCTGTGGAAAATAAATTTCTTCAGATGAGTCGTTCGTCGCAGAACTGTTTCCTACCCTCATCCCCCTTTTTTGCATCTGGACTGATTCTGTGTTTCATTAAGTGCTATTTCAAATAGCACACTGTGCCTCATCTTGAACTTCAAAGTCCTTCAGGTCTGGAACCATTACCATTAGTGTATGTGATGGAATTTTTTGTGCAGATAAAAACTACAATTCCAATTGAGGGCTTCATATATGGTTTGTTGATCAGGAATGAATTTTGAGCATATCGCTGCTCGTATCAATGGATCTTTAGCATACTGATTTTTTCCTGAGAAAAATAAATACAAGTATTTGTTCTGTGCAGTGGTCTTCAAAGTAAATAACAGAAGAAAGATATATTCTGCTTCTACAAAAATACTCTTGTAATAGGTCACTAAATAGCATTCTTTTTATGTACTAAAGTAAGTAAATACTTTAAAGAAATGTAATCAGGAAAGCAAGGAATATGGCAACAAGAAAACTGGTGACTTCACGCTGGACTTCGTGCAGTATAGCAAAAATAAGTATTTACAGCTTATGGTCCTTTGTAGGTAACTTATCTGAATTTTCATACACCGAAAGCAGTAACAGGTGTGCTCTTTTCTTTGCAGGTACGATGAGATGAGTGTTCTCTTCATGGTCTTGATAACTGATGCCACTCTAGAGAATGGAGTGGTCCAGCTGAGAAGCAGAGACACCACCATGAAGGAAATGATGCACATTTCTAGGCTGAAGGACTTTTTAATTAAGTATGTAACGTCAGCCAGAAATGTGTAAACTTAAATTTGTTGAATAAAAGGAGTTTCTTAAACACCTGTGCCTGAACTGGCTCCTATGGTGCCAAGGACTTAGTGGTTTCTCTGCAAATAATTCTGATAAAACTTGCTGGTGCATCTGTTTTCTGTCAAACCTAGACCATCTAGGTCTTCCAGGTTGCATTGAAAAGAAGGAAGAGACAAACTTGTCCCTCCTTAGCCAGACTAATCATTTTCTCTTTCATGTCCTCAGTTTTACTGTCTTATTGAGAACACTCCCATCCTACCCTACAAATTTATCTTTCATCTGTGTATTGCTGACACAATTATGGTGTCTGCTGGGAAACGGTATTTTATATAAAAGACTTCCAAATCTTAAATGTTTTAATAACATCAGTAAGTATCTTTGTGTTATCTGTTTGTAGGAATGTATTTTAATCATATGGCCTCAGTTCTTCAGCATTTAAGCTACTTCAGCTTGCACTTGATAGACATGACAATCAGGAATACATTATGAAGCATAACAGGAGATAAAGAAATAAATTGTCAACAGTTTTTGCCAAGCATTTTTGTGGACATAGAAAATGGTGAAAAAGGACTAATGTGTGATCATATTTATCCTTTACAAGTTATAGTAAAAATCAGATAAAAGAGTTTGTATAGATACAAAATTGAGTGATTCTGATCTTCTGTAGATTTGCCACGCGTGTACAGCTTAAGTCACTGTGTTAAAGTGCTTTAGGGCGTACGCAACAAGGCGGGTGGCCACGGATAGTCATTAATGTCAGGAAACACAAGAACCTGCCTTAAACATTACCGTGGTGCCTATTTAACTATAAACATGTTACTTGTAAGCGCTATACACTAAATAATATTAATTCCTGCATAGTGTAATTATGCCAGATATAATGCAAGGCTAGCATACAGTGGCTGTGGGACTTACTGAACTTCTGGAATTCTGTGTAAGCTGGCTATGGAACGGCATTAAAACAAGCCAGAAACATCTGAGAAACAGCCTATAGCAGGATGCAGAATTTGTTTTGGAGTTAGCAGTCCCAAAAGTTAATTTTAGCATCCTGTCCCTGCTCTGAGAGCTGAAGTAATGTTGAACTGAGAAATTGCCATCCTCGCTGCTAGGTAACAGCAGGTACAGAGGCCAAATACGGATCCTCTAGCGTGTGTCTAAGAGGACAACACAGTTGGGATGGGGTTTTTTTTAATAGTTGACTAAAGCCTTTTGATTATCTTGTGTTTGCATACAATCCGGTTTCTACTTCAGGAGAGTTGGTAAATGTACAGGACCTTGGCTCTGAGTGGAAGCTCCACATCATTTATTCCTTTCTGTTTGTTCAGATGCATATAATGCCAGACTATATATATAGTGTCCATCAGGATCTTACCTGACAGTGATTGCATCGTTTTGTTTTTTATGGTGCTATTTGGGCAATAAGCTGCTGTTTGTCTAATTGCTGTTTGGGTCTTTGTTAATCCCAGTTTTTATCTGTTCTGCCTTTTCTTTTAAGTTCAAGTCCTTAGAGATTATGACTTGGGGATTTTTCTTGCTAGTAAAGAATGAGCTATATTGTCTGTCTGCAACATAATTAGGCCAGGAAACTAGCATCTAAACATCATCTCTTTCTGTGCAGACTTGGTGGTACTTGCCACATCTGAGGACTGAAAGATTCTTTTAAAATATGTGATTAAGTTAATCACAAAAGAGATCTTACCTTGCACTCAGTCTCTGATGAGGACCTTCGTATAGACTGTAGTACATTCCCTCTTCTCTGCTGAAAGCCAGAATAACATAATTCAAATTTCCTTTTTTGGAACAGATACACAACAGAAGATTTAATATCCCATCAGCAGCTTGGTCAGTAATAGTATCTCCTGCATCGTTTCATAATGAGGCTGTTGAATTTTTGGGTCATGGGATGGTGATTGGCTTTTTATTTGGGGTTTTTTATTTGCTTTTTTTCCCCTCAAAGTCTTAAAAGTTATTTTAATTTCTCCATAGTAAGTAAGCAGTTTCAGTATGTAACTGCTACTATTTAAACCTGGCTTCCCCCCAGCAAAATCCCCCAAACCTGTATTTGTGCACAACAGATGTTCCAATGTTACAGCTTGAGGCTTTCACCTTTTTCATCTTCTCTTCTAGTAACAGAAAAGTTGACATATTCTTCTTCTGGTTTAACAGGCTCTGGATTAAAGATGATGAACAGCAGTTAACTCTATTACAAGAGACTCACCAGAATTTATTTTTTTTAATAATCTTGGAAACAAAGCAGTGAGATTCCGTATTGGATATAAATCTACCATGCTTTCTGTAGCGTTCATGGGCCTTATGAGAGCTATTGTCACTGTCCTTGCGGGCTCGGTGGGTAGAATGCTGACTGGTATCTGGCATGAGCATCTGCACAGAGCGCTTGGCTAACCCGGCAGAGCAGCTAGAGCTGCTGCTGCATGAACAGGAAGGTAGGTTTGTTCGTAGCGACTGATTCAGTTTTTGGTGTTTAGAAACAGGAAATTAATACTTTGCCTTTGCTTTGTTCGGGGGTTTCTTTTTCCCTTGACAATACTGGCATTCATGTATAAGGCAAATGTGGAAAACTACAAGTTGATAGCATCACAGCTCTCGTGTAATGTCTTCATTTTATGTTCTCTGCAGTTAAGTAGCACAGTGTCTTAACGCAGGTCAGTTGCTTTGTTCTCCAGCATTACTTCATACTTTGAGTCTTTTCAAAGTTAAGAAACATAATAAAGAACTATTGAATATTGACCAATTTTTAACAGAATGCAGGAGCTACGTAAGTTCTATTGCGCTACAACTTGCGTATAGCCCACTTCTGTCTCTTAGTAAATGGGCATTGCACCTCTGATCTACTTACTGTCTTTTAATTTTCTTTTCTTCTGAAATGGCTATTTTAATCCTCGCCATGAGTTGCCAAATTCGATTCTTCATTTTACAGCTCTTTCCAATAGATTTTTGTGTAGAACTTCAGTTCATTTTACGAGTTGCAGTTTTGGCTGCATGGCTGACGGGTAGTGCCAAATGGGGATCCTGAGGGACTTCAAATAACGCCCCTGCCAGGCACGGTCAGTAGGAGGATTAGCAGCTCACCTACGGAGTAGTAGTAGGTGTCCCCTTCCGCTGCTTTTGCAGTACCTGAAGAAACTTGCCCATGCTAGCTACAGAAAGTATAATGGCATTCTTCAACCAAACTCCCACCAGTAAGTTTCATGACTGCATGAGGAGTAACACAAACTTACCAATCTCTGTGTATATGACGTAGTTTTCAGACTCTTCTGCGTTCGTTGTTGAAGTAAGTCTGGTTGAAGGCCTAGCAGACTTGAGTTTTTCTGCAAATTGTAAAAGAAAAACAAACACATGCTTATATACGTGTATCAGTTTTTTCTTACAGGGAAATAAACAGCTCCATGACATTCTTTGAATACTTGGTGATCTTGGAAAATGTTATTTTGATAAAAATTACTCTTAAATGAAGGGCATTTTTAATAGAATTTCCTTTCTTTACTAGGAACAGAGGTCAATTTCCTTCCGACATTTATATTATTGTTTTAAAATAAAAATATAGTATTAAATTAGGTGTTACTTTGCTTCCCCCATCCCAGACTGCCATCTAAAACATCGCTCGGAGGTTTTGCCTTGTCACTGTCTTGTTAAGTTGGCTATGCTGGTTAAGAGGAGACTTGACAACGTCCCAAAATACCAAGAGCCTAACTCTACGCTAAAATGTATTGACAGCATAAATGAGCAGCTCTGGAAAATGAAACAGACATTCAAATGACTCACTTGCTTTATATGAAGGAATTATGAAAAACAGAATTGCCAGAGCAAATCCTATTACAAATAGTGGCAAGATCAGCCCAAGACAAATGATCAAGTGTTGAGAATGGTTTCTCTCTTCTGCCAAAAAGAAAAAAAAAAAAAAAAAAGTATTTATGCAATGAAACGTTGTTTCATGTTCTAAGTTTTTTCCGTAAATTAAATTAAAGACTTTGCATATCTTTCAGCTTTTGGATTAACTGTGGTTTTAACGTAACTGCACAGGAGCGTCCCAAGTGCACACTGCCACAGCAGAAGGAAGGGAGCTTGCTGGTGCCAGTAGACTTTCACAAAACCAGAGAGAAAAGTGAAACTAGACTCTCTCCAAGGTGGAGCAAGGTGGACTGGGGGACTCTTGTACAAGTGAATCTTTTACAGTCATCCTTCATGGTCGCTTCAACTTCTATCTAGGGTGCTTGGAATACTCTTTTTGCATTCATTTTAGAAACTTAAATTATTTTTGAACATTACATTGCAGGAACAAAATTTCTGGCTAAAAAATTTGCACTGTTACAACATTCTGAATTTTTACGATCCCTGTTTATTGACAGTGGTAAAATGTTTCACACGTGCATACCTGCTAATGTAAAGTTGAAACTGTTGCTGTATTTTGTATTATTGGAAAAGCTATTTTCAGCTCTGCATTTATAGGTTCCGAAGTCACTAGAGGAATTGATAAATAGAAAAATCACAGCTGCTTCCCTCTTCTGCATCTTCACTGGGGGCCTGATGCTTTGCCTTCCTTTGAAGAATATGTAGGTGATTGGAAGAGAGCCATTCTCCGAGAAACAAGACAGGGTCACGTTCTGGCCTCTCTTTGCTTGAGAGGTGGGTGAGCTCAGCACTGGCTGGGAAATTGGTTCTGCAAAAAGAAAACTGAAAAGGCTGCGTCACTAAGCACAGGACAAGCTCCGAAGCAAAGCTCAGAGTTAAGCGGTGGCACTGGCATCGCGGATGGAGGGCTCGGCGAGCCAGAGCACAACAGCGCTGCCGGCTCTGAAGGAAGTCGTGGCCGGCTGCAGTGAAGCTCGGCTCCGCAATCCGGGCAGGTGCACGCTGCAGCCCAGAACAGCGCCTGCTGCAAACTACCCCCTGACTCCTGCTGCTGCAGGTGCATTGCATCAGACACGGCTGTGTGCGCCTGCAGTGCCATGTGCTGAGAAGGTATGAGCCAGACATACCTGTAAGGGTGAAGTTGAGACCGTTGCTGTATTTTCCGTCTCTGGAGATGTTATTCTGAGCTTTGCATTTGTATTCACCCACGTCACTGGCAGAGTTGATAGTCAAGTTAAACAAACCAGGGGTCAAGTCTGTCCTATTTAACGTGGATACCTTCTGATTTTGTCTGAACAATGTGTATCTGACAGGTGGAGATCCAGAGTCCAAGTGGCAGGAGAGTGTCACGTTCTGGTTCATCACTACATTTGATGCCTCCTGAACAGATAGAAGCCTTGGATTGGACAGCATCTCTGGAAAGAAGAAACTTCTGAGTGAGTTCACTGCACCTATCATCCAAGAAACTCTCATATTTTTCCCAAAATATGTTGAGGACCTGGCTATACTTATTTCTGTCAAAATTATATTTTTTTCCACTTTCGGTAGCAGGCAACACAACTCTCTGTTTTTCAAAATCAGGATGCAGCTTCGAACACTCAATTAAAAACACATGTCTGTGCAAAAGAGAGCATATACACACAAAGCCAATAGATTTAGTCAGATGAACCAACAAAAACAGTTTTGAACTACAGCAGCAATGAAAAAAGAAGTAGAAAAGAAAAATATAAATATTATGGGATGCTAGTTATAGGAGAAAGTAACCTTATCTGCTAGTTGAGAGGCAGCATGTGAACCTGAAAGTAAAAGCAGTATTTTATTTGTGGCTGTATGTAAACAGGCAGAATTAACCTTATGTAAGTAGATTGAAGTTTTGAATAGTAGCAGCAGGAGCCTTGATAGTCTATCAAATTAGTTTGCTTTTATGAGGTTATACAAATAATTGGCAATAAAAGCTTATAATATAATTTCATAGAAAATGGTGATAAAGTAGTCATGATTAAGATAAATTATGACACTTCTAGAGGAGAAAAATTATGTTTTAACAACTTAGAGCAATTTTGACTGGACATAAAAGTCAGCAAAGAGACAGTTAACTTTGTATAGAAACTTGTAAACTGTCTCACTGCACAGACAGGGGCAAAAGATTAAATTTTACTGAAGATTTTGGATGTTTTTAAATCCCTCCCGCTTTTTTTATAACAGCAGATTTCAGCACATATCCCAAAACCAAAAAAGAGAACTTACCTTTGCCATTTGCAGTGGTTTTCTGAATCTGCTGAGACATTTGAACTAAGAGAAGAAAAGAAAGCATTCAGACAAAAATCAACGGTTCCTGTTTAGAAAGATTTGTAATATGTAAGAATTACGTCTTTAGCTTACAGTAGGAAAACAGCAGAATTGTGAGAAAAAACATTTTCTTGCTACTGAGCAAGAGAGCTGGTAGAGTTACACTAATGAGATCTTTGAGGAGTGGCTCTAGGGGTTGAGGAAGTCCTGAATACGGAAACAGTGCGGATCTTCACTGATGTTTGTGTAAAGACTTTTGTCATATTCCACTTACGCTTAGCCTATGGCAGGCAGAGCACTGGGCAGAAGAAAAAGCTGTGAAGTGAGGAACAGCAGTCTGGGATACAACTGAATGTTCCATACAGTCGTTCTGGGACGTTGCTGACACAATCAGCAGCTTTTCCATGTGAGAGCCGTGCGGTAGAACCGTGCTGCCATGCAGTATACAAGACTATGTAGTTTCTCTAGCAGTGTTCTTATAAGGGAATGCGATCACTGATTCGTATCAAACAGTCACACAATTGCTAGAGATAATGCAAGTAACTGTATGGCTGAGACTAAGAGAGTGTGTTGTCCGGGGTTTTTTTAGCAGCAATGTAATGTAAAAAGAATTGTCAAAAAAAAAAAATCTATAGACGTTTTAAGATGCTGCAAGAGACGAATTGGAATTCCCTGAAACAAAAGCCTGAGAAGGGAGAGGAGAGCAAAGGCCCTCCAAGCTTCCCCAAGGAATGTCTCAAACACTTGCTGGGTAACACAGACCTTGTGCTCAACGAACTGATAAGGCTACGCTTGCTTCCCTCTTGTGTGCCTGGATAGCACAGGATGTGGCTGGAGGAGGGAGCCCTGTGGAGACAGGGCCGTTCTGCTCTGGCACAACTTGTTTGTTCTCAGGGCCATCGTCCGATGAATGACCTTTGCCTCGTTATCCGCAAAATGCATATTAAAGTTGACCCCCCTCTAGATGCTAATGAAGGTTTTGGAGATCACGCTAAACATATGTGACTATAGCACTTGTCTCTCCACCCAGATCATGCTATGCATTACCTGGGGGAGCGGAGAGGAACCTGAAACCAAACGGTGGGGTGGGTCATACTGATATGGCGAACATAAAAGACGAGGTAAGTGCCACAAAAAGTGAGGGGAAATAAGCGAAGAAAACACACAGAGAAGAGCGCTCCTAAGAACCAGAGATGCACACCCCTGTTGGCTGGACTGAGGGGGGAACCATGACCAGTGATCTCTTTACCTCTTTCTCTCCCCCATCCTCTGTTTTCTCTTAGAATTAAGTAACGCAAGGCATACCTTACCGCTTGCTGTAATTTGTTATATACTTAACCAACTGTCATGGACCTAATTAAGACATACATTAATCACTGTGGGCTAATGTTTGTGTATGGACTCTGAGAGTTGTCTCACCTTAGTCCACACCACTGGGGATTTGTGAATCTGAGTCACATGCCCCTCTCTTCTGAGTGGGTCACGGCATATGCTAATAAATGTTTATAGCTAGCCCACTTGTTAGGGAAATACTTTGGTCAAACTTCACATACTAAGTTGTGAGGAAGTGAGATCTAGTACTAGAGAGTACTAGAAGGTACAAATCTCATCATGAACTTGAGTTCAACACTACTGCAGAAACAAATTTGATAACTAATTTGGTCATCTAACATAGTACAGCTAGCAGATGTTCTTTATTTGTCATCCTCCGGGCAAAGTAAATGTAATGTTTAGCTATTCGTGGGCAATGCCTTCTGAACAACTCCAGGCCCTGTTGTACGCGAAGAAATAACTGCTTTCACAGAGAACGCCTTAAAGTGTTGTTGCGATCTTTGCCTTATTTCTTTGCCTCCAGTTTCTGAAGGCAACAAGACAAGGCCCTACAGAGTCTGTCCCCTTCGCCTGTGTCATGCAGAATCCCTCCCAAAGCCTGGTCTGTCACAGCATTGCAAAGTTTCCTCATGGAATTTTGTGTGCGACTTCTTCCCTCCTTGTTTTGGGTTTGTTTTTTTTGGTTTAACTTCTTTCAAGGCAACCTGCGCCCTGCCCTCGCAAATGTTTCTTATGTGGAAATGCTGACCACTAACCACAAGACTGAAATATTTTTTTGCAGCTGGCAGGAAGCACGTGTGTAAACGCAGCTGTCGGAAGAACTGGGAGTGTTTGTGCATTTTCCTGTTGTGGGAGCCTGTTCTTTGACAGAAAAACCACCAGAAAAAGTCCTCACCACGCTCGCAGCCAAGTGATGGAGGCGGAGAGTGTCCCGAAAGCTGCGGGGAGCCCGTGTCTCGCCCTGCTGTCGGGAGGAGGGGGCGCCGGCTCGCGCAGCCGCCCGGAGGCTCCTGAGGGCTGTGGCGGGAAGCCGCCCGTCGCTCCCGCCGGCGGTTTC